CTCTCTCTCTCTCTCTCTCTCTCTCTCTCTCTCTCTCTCTCTCCCTCCCTCCCCCTTCCCTCTCTCTCTTTTTTGATAGTCTGGAAACTAGTGATCCTCCCACTTCGTTGAAGTCCAAAGTGCCATTCATTTTACCTGGCTATGCCTGCATCTTCTAATTACAGGAAACATCTTAATCACTGTGTAGTGAGTGCAATATTATGACAACGCCTTCAAAGAAAACAAATTCTAGATGAGGAACAGAGCTAAACCTCTTGACACAAACTTTTGTTCTTTGGTTTCCACTCTCTTCCTAGCGCTCCATCTCCCCCACCCCCTCAAAAAATAAATAAAATAAGTAATCCCAGCTGCAATTTCTTCTCATTTGTTACTCTTCTGTGGAGGCCATTAAACACACCCCATGCTTATTCTGTTCTTGGCTTCAGGGCACCGTGCAAAGAAGAAGAAGGAAGAAGTCTTGGGGATACCGCCTAATGGTAATTGGCAACTTTCTCAGTTGGAATACGTGTAGAAATAGCTAAATGCATGTTATAGAATAGCCCACTGGGCTTTTATACAGGAGATCGGAGAGGAAGGAAATGAAATCAGCTGTACTCAAGAAGACCTGGAGATTGCCAAGCCTTCGTTGCCAACTCCCAAGGGTCTCATCTTTGTGAAACCCCCTCCTCTAAAGTCACAAAAGTCCTATTTTTTCAATGAAGGTTAGAGCAGTATGGTTCCCTAATCTTTGTTTTCTGTGGGGGAAAGGCAGCTGCTATTCTTCACCCCATGCTTTTTTTCTTAAAAGAGAAGGGAATCATCTTCTCTTGCAATGAAGCAACCCATAATCCTCATCAGTGGGTAACTCTCTCTCAGTTTGAGCCAGGTTGTTGGCACTCTGACACGCCTATGGATGGAAGGCAGAAACTGGATTGCAGTTGTGAGCAACTTCTGCTGTGCCAACCCTCCCTAGATTTATCCAAAGGCAAGAATAGGATTGATATGCATGTATTGCTGTGCTCAGTCAAGGCCGTATTTCTGTGAATGGGAATGTGGCCACTGTGGGATTACTGATCATGCAGGCAAATAAACACAGTGCCAAATTCCTCTTCCAAATTCCTAAAACCTTTGAAAGAGGTAATTTTCTTTTTCTGGAAGTTGAATTCGTTTTGATTTTCTTTTAGCGTTGTTTTAAGTTTGCTTCATTATTTTGAGTTGGGAGGATTTTCCACCCCAATTGTACATTCTGGATGCCCTTGATTGTTAAATTTCTTCATGGTGAATTTCAGCATGATTCAGTTGAGCAATGGAAGACAGCAGATGGCTGGACTCTATGATAAAAATCAGAATATACAGTATATACGTACAGTTCCATTGACCTTCTCATAGCAATAGCACTTAAATTTACATGCCGCTTCACAGTGCTTTACAGCCCCCTCTAAGCGGTTTACAGAGTCAGCCTATTGCCCCCAACAATCTGGCTCCTCATTTTACCGACCTCAGAAGGATGGAAGGATGGAACCTTGAGCCTGGTGAGATTCGAATTGCCAAATTGCAGGCAGCCGGCAGTCAGCAGAAGTAGCCTGCAGTACTGCACTCCAGCCACTGTGCCACCGCAGCTCATATCTAAAGGAAGTGTAAAAATCCTACTCCCCACTCAAGAATTTCACTGAAATATGTGGCTTTGAAAAATAATTTCATAGTTCATCCCACTTTTGCATTTTAATAAAAATGATTTAAAG